ATGTCTTGTATGAAAGAAGTCTGACATGAAAAAATGTCTTGTATGCTAAAATGTCTTGTGTGCTAAAATGTCTCAAACTAAGTAACAAAACTCTATTCTGTCTATCAACAACTCTAATGACATAAACTTAATAATATATTAAGATAAGTAAGGTATACTTTTCCTAATTTTGTCCAGATTGCCCTTCATACTATGCGTTATCGTACGACAAATGTTAAATCATGACCAACATTTCGTCCGACATCGGACGATGACAGACGACCAAGCGATCCGACGATACGAAATAAAATCCTGCTTTTTGATTGGTTGCGGAGCGTCGTACGACGTATGTCGGATGCAGTGTGAATCCAGCATCTGATTGGTTGATTCTCTTATGCGTTATGTATGTATGTATGTATATTTATTCCTCCCCTAAGGGTTCGAAGGCGCTTTTGCAGGGAGCGTTCCCCTTTACAATTCCTCCTTACAATTATTCGCTTCCCTTAATCTTTATTTTCTGGTCCTGGGGGAGAACTCGCGTCCCGCTTGCCGCTCGCCCCCCTCCTTGACACACACACACACACACACACCTCTTCCCTCTCCTGGACTTCCGTTTCCTTGGCCTTTCAATTTACATTCTTTTCCAATTCTTTGTCTACTTGCTCTCCGCCCTTACCCCCCTCATCCCCACCCTTCTTCCTCTCCAATTCTCTCATCCACCTCTCTCGCTCTCCCTCCTCTCCAAATATCCTCCTTACTTCCTCTTTCCAACTCTTTTCACTTCCATTTTCCCATCTCCTACATTCCTCCCACACATGTTCCCATGTTTCCTCTTCCCTCTCACACAACCTACACCTCCTCTCCTCCTCCTTCCTCCAATACTGCCCTCCTCTCATCTCATTTCCCAATCTGTACCTCGCCATCCTTTTCCACCTACTTTCTCCCCACCCCTTCTTCAAGTACTGCGGTATCCCTTCCTCTCTCACATATTCATACCACCTATTATACCTTGACTCTCTTATCTTCTCCCCCCTCTCTCTTCTTCCTAGCTCCTCTCCCTCTTCTCTTATTTCTGTCACCAATGTCTCTCCCTCTTCTCTCCTCTCTCTTACCTCTCTCATGTCCCATCCCCTTTCCTTGAAGAATTTTATCCTCCCCACCTCCCAACTCGCCAATCTCTCCCCCTTCTCCGCTCTCTTCTTTATCTCCTCTAGACATTTCCTCGCAATTTCGCTCTCCCTTCCCTCCTCCAGCCTTCTCTCCTATTTCCATGCCCTTAACCCCGCTCTCTCTCTTAACTTTTCTCTCTTCAATTCCTCCCTTACCATGTATCCTAGCGTCTCTCTCTTTATTCCTAGTATCCATCTCATGTATCTTTCCTGGCTTCTCTCTATCTCTTCCCTCTCCTCCCACCCCCATATTTCCACCCCATACCCTATCACCGTCCGTACTAAGCTATCATATAACCATATTCTTTTCCCCCATTCTCTCTCAAACCTTCTTTCCCCTATTCCCCATACCTGTCCCATCACCGTCATTCCTATCTTTACTCTTTTCTTTATATGCTTCTCCTGTCCCCTATCTTTCTGCATCACGTATCCTAAATATTTATATTCCTTCACTTCTTCCAATTCCTTTCCTTTCCATCTCCATTTCATCTTTCTCTCTCTACCCCCTCCCTTCCTAAATCTCATCACTTTCGTTTTCCCTATATTCACCTCCATCCCTTTCCTTTCCATATATCTTTCCAATCTCGCTACCATTGCCTTCACCCCCTCCTCCTCCGCCATTATCACCACGTCATCTGCATATGCCAATGAATATATTTTCTCTTCTCCTATCTTTACTCCTCCCCACCTCCCTTTTTTTAATTCCTCTTCCATATCCGCCATTAACAAATTGAACATCCCTGGACTTAGTGGGCACCCCTGCCTCACTCCCCTTCCTGTCCAGAACCCCTCCCCTAGCTCCTCTCCCACCCTTACCCTGCTTATCGTCTCTTCCATGACCTCCTCGCATCTTTCCACCAATCCTTTCCTCACCCCTCTTTCCCTCATCGCCCTTATCAACTCTCTTCTGTCCACCGTATCGAATGCTGCTTTCAGATCCACAAATAACGCCATCAACTTACCCCCCTTCCTTCCTAATTGTCTATTTATCACATAATTCATCACATATATGTTGTCTATAACTCCCAACCCTTTCCTGAACCCCGTCTGATTTTGCGATATCAACCCTTTCTCCTCCACCTCTTTCCTTAATCTTTCCGCTAATACCGATGCATAAATCTTGTACAACGTATTCATTAACGTTACTCCTCTATACTCTCCCACTATTCTTCCCCCCCCCTTCTTCACTATCGGTACTACTATTCCTTCCTTCCATTCTTCTGGCCCTCCCCTCTCCATACTCTATTACACATTTCCCTTATCCATTCCTCCATCCTCTCTCCTCCATATTTCCACGCTTCATTCGGTATCTCATCCCCTTCTACCGCCTTGTTGTCCTTCAATTTCTTCATTACCTCCTTAATTTCTTCCTTGCTTATTTCCTGTTCCTTCTCTCTTTCCTCTTTTCTCTTCCTTTCTCCTATCACTCTTCTCCCCACTCCTCCTAGTAATCCTCTAAAATATTCCTCCCATTCTTTCATTTCAATCTCTTCGTTTCTTCCCTTTCTTCTTTTCCTCTCCCTCCTCATTATTTTCCCATATCTTCCCCTCTTTTACTTTTTCATTCACCCACCTCTCCCACCTCTCATTTTCTTCTTTCCTCTTTCCCTCGCATAACTTTTTATATTTTGATTTCTCTTCTCTATATCTCTCTCTATCCACCTCCCCTCTTCTCCATCTCCTCAATTCCCTCCTTACCTTCCTCTTCTCTTCTCTACATTCCTCATCCCACCAACCTTTCCACCTCTCCTTCTCGCCCTCTTCTTCTTCCCTTACTATTGCTCCCTTTATCCTTTTATTCATTTCCTTGATCTCCTCTTCTACCTTTCCTTCCCCTATTCTCACTTCCCCCAACTCTTCCCTAAATCTTTCTCTAGCTCTTTCAGTCCACATCCCTTTTTCTTTCCTTTTCTTCCCTCCCCTTCTCTTTCCCCTCTCTCTTCCTCCCTCCATCCTTACCGTTATTGGATGATGATCCGACTCTATATTGTCCCCCACCTCGAAACTTTTTATCTTGCTCCATCCTTCCTCATTTACTATAACATAATCTATTACCGATTCTACTCTTCCCCCTGTGTACGTCCATTCCCCTTTCTCATCTCCTTCCTTCCCTCCGTTCACTATCATCCATCCTCTTTCATTTATAAACTCTATCAATTCTTTTCCCTCCTTATTTTCCTGCTCGTCTTTCGATTTCCTATTCTCCTCCACCCCCTCTTCATCCTCCCATATTCTCCCCCCTCTTCTTCCTGTCCTTGCGTTAAAATCTCCTCCAATTATCGTTCTTCCTCCTCCCCCTTCCTCTTCTATCCATTCCTTTAATCTTTCCAACCTTTTCCCTAAATCCCCCCTCACATATACTCCTATTATCCTCCATCTTCTTCCTTCTATTATTACATTTCCCACTATCACTCCCTCCATCTCCTCCCTCTCCTCCTCCTCCCCCCTCTCGCTTCTAATTCCTTCCTTATTCCCATTACCATCCCCCCCTTTGCTCTTCCTTTTCTATAAACTCTCTTTGCCGTTTGTATTTTCCATGTATATCCCTTCGGTAGCTTCCCCCTTAACCACGCTTGTTCTTTTTCCCCTATCCATGTTTACATTAACGTTATTACATCCCATTTTTCTATCTCTCTCCAAAACTCCCTATCTTTCTTTTTCAATCCTGCTACGTTCTAGAATGTCACCTTTAACTCTCTCTTTCCTTCTTCCCCTCTTTCCTTTCTATTTCCTCCTCTCCTCTCTCCTCTTCCCTCTCCTCCTAGTTTTCTTCCTTCCCATTTTCCTTCCCCTTCCCCCTCCCTCTCCTCTCCCTCTACTGTCAATATTTTCTTTTCCCCTTTTCTATTAACCACCCCCCTTACTTCTTCGTCCCACCTCCACCATTCCTCATTTATTCTTATTTTTCCATACCCTCTCCAAACCCTACTTCCTTTTCCTTCTTCTTCATCCGCTATTCCTCTCATTATCCACCTTGCTCTCCTTTCCTCATATGTCAAATCGTCTTCTATCCATACCTTGCTTCCTTTCAGTTTCTTTTTCCTTTCCATTATTCTGCTTTTTTCTTCCTCATTATTTAATTCCACCACTACTATTTCTCTCTCATCCCCCTTTCCCGTCTTTATCCTCCTTATTCTTTTTCCAATCCCCTTTTTCATTCCTATTTCTTTCAGTATCTTCTCCACCTCCTCTCTTACCTCCCCTTTTCCTATTTCTACCCCCCTCATCACTATATTCCTTCTTCTTTTCTCCTTCTCTCTTTCCTCCTCCCTTTTCTCCAATACTTTCACTCTCTCCTCCATTTCTTCCTTCCTCTCTTCTGCTTCTCTTCTACTCTCCCTTTCCCTCTCCTCCTCCACCTTCTTTACTCTTTCTTCTATCTTTTTTATCATCTCCCCTTCCTCTCCCTTCCCTTCTATCTCTTCCCATTTCCTCTCTAAACTCTCTATCCTATCCCTCATCTCCTGCTTCTCTTTCTCCCATGTTTCCTCTCTCCTCCTCATTTCCTTCCTTAACCCTTCTATTTTCTCCTTTACCTCTTTAAACCCTCCTCTTATTTCCTTCCTCATTTCCTCTAATGAATTCTCCCTTTCCCTCCCCTCCTCTTCCCCTTTTACTGGTGACCTCACTGTCTTCCTACTTTTCATAAATCCCATCTCCTCCTCCTTCTCTCTTTTTCTTTTCCACATCTCCCCTATCATTCCCGTGCTCCCTCTTCTCCCTCCCTCCTCCCCCCTTTACCCCTCCATTCCCTTTTCTTCCCTCCCCCTTACTTCTCTCTTCCTTCCCCATTTCCTCCATTCTTATCTTCCCCTTTCTCTCCTTTAAACTTCGCTCCTTTCTCTTCCTCCTTCCTCCTTTCTCCTACAGATGTCGTTCCTTCTCCTTCTTGCCTCGCTTCTATCTGCTCCTATACTCCTTGCCCGTATCCTTTCTCTTATTTTCTCCCCTCTATAAACTCTCTTTCCCTGCTCTTCTCTATCCGTCCCTAACCTCACTCTCTCACCCGTATCTTTCACCCCCTTTCCACTCTCTCTCTCTCTCTCTCTCTCTCTCTCTCTCTCTCTCTCTCTCCCCTCTCGCCTCCACTCACCTCCACTCCCGCTCACTCTCTTCACACTCTCTCCTCCCCCCTCCTCCAATTCTGTCCCCTACACTTTCCTTTTCTCTCCTCTTTTCACTCTACTAGAAACCCTCTCCTATACTTTACGCCGCCGGAAACGGAAGTCCTCTTATGCGTTATGTATTATGCGTTATGTAGAAGTCTGTGTTCTGGTCCAAACTCTCTAGAAACGGACTCCTTTGATACAAATAATTTCCCAGCCTCTCAGGAGATAGCCAAGTTCCTTGCACGTACCAATCAGATTATATAATTTTTCACACGTTTTCGTCTTGAAACGATGACTGGCGTAGGAACGGAATTGATCCGTTTGGAGCCATCTATTGAACCATGAACCATGTTGTTTTTCTATTTAATAACTCGGGAAGTCCCTTGTGTACATATCGATTATTGAAGGTAATCTTTTTCCTTAAAGATGTCCATCGAAAGCATTATCGACCGGAAATGCGATCCTGTTTCTTCAGGTAAAGAAGAAAAATGCTGAATTCATAACATTATGTAGTAATTACAATATCCTAATTATATGAATTTGTCTAGCGCTCGTCACAACAATGGAATCTGCAGAAAATACAAAAAACATCGAGAGTATAACGATGAGCTTAAATGAGAAATTTGTTAAACTTTGTACCAACTTAAAACAATTACAAGATATTTCCAGAAAGGAAGATAACTTTTCTACTGAACAGAAAGATTTTATACTAAGAGCAGAAGAACTGTTAGAACAGTATTTTTATGAAGTAACCATTTCGCAAGATCAAAATGTGAATGATGTTGTAGTTCTTGCTGAATGTTTCATCAGTATGTGTTATATAAAACTTATGGAAGATGAAGAACCGCAACATGAACATTTCATTATAGCTGAATGTTTTCTTAGTCAAAGTATGCTATTACTAGAGGATAAAGAACTAGATAGCAATGTTATTCTTGTAGCAATAATTACTTTTAATATATTGAGCTACATCAATTTTAAATTAGAATACCCAGAGAAATCTGTAAAATATTCATATAAGGCATTGGAATTATATATGTCATATACTAAAGGGCAAGATAATTTTCCTTCTCCTATTGATATTTTAACTATTTTGGATCTCCAAGTTGAATCAAATACTGTATATCTATTGGATAGAAAATATATGGATACTTTAAGATCTTTAATAATATTAAAGAAGAAAGAGGAAAAAGTACAAATAGATATAGAGAAAATTGTAATGTACATGCATAAGTTATTAAAAAAACAATTAGGAAATATACCAATAACTATAAACCATGTATCATGGGCTATAGAAGCAATAAGATTAGCTGAATACTTTCTATCTTGCAATCGCTTCATTGAATGTAAAAATCACCTTGTTATTGCTTCCATTACCATGGAAAGATATTATAATAATTATTACAAAGGATATGCAGAAAAATCCAATGACAAAGGGAAATGTCTCTATACTCGATATAAATCTATCATTTCTTTTATTAATACATGCTGGGTGAAATATGGTTTAACCCTTTTATTTTTATCAAAAAAACAATTATTAATTCAAGAAGGAAAAGACAATTTTTTAGAGGCTAATATTTATAAATTAGAATCCACAACACAGTCCATCAAACAATCCACAGGATCATTAATGTTTACATGTACTGATGAAGAATATCAAGAATACATATATATAACAGAAGATAATTGTATTACAAACTATAACGATGCTAAACTGCTTTTTGTAAATATTCTCCAGTTGCTCAATAAAATAAAGGTTGATATATCTATTTCAGATAATATATATGTTTATACAGAAATTGCACAATATATTTCTAAAGCATACAAATATCTTGCATTTTATGAACATGATAAAATCAACCAAATAAAACTACAGAAACGACGGATTGATGTTTTAGAAGAGTGCTTAAAAACATTAAATGTAGAAGATAATGAAATTGCTTGCAGTTTTATATGGTTTGAGCTTGCAGTTATTAATTCCACTATTGTAGATATAAAGATAGAACATTTAAAAGCTAGTAAATTATCACCAGAAGAATTAGTAGAAATTGACCAATTAGTAAACAACAGTGTAACCTATTTCCAACTATATATTAAGCATTTAGTTGCTGTAGAACATGCATTAACAAAGGGACTAGTTGATCAAAATTATCAATTTCTTTCTATTTTGAATTTAACTGCACAAGTTTAATAATACTTTAATAATAATTTATTATCACAGACTATCTCAAACATAAATAAATCCTATTGCCATTATTATTATTATTGTTTGGTATTATTATTATTGTTTAAGTTCTTATGATGTTCTTGAAAATATTTATATTTGACTGACAAATATTTTACAAATATTATATATTACAGAAGAATTTATAATTAGAAATTGTACATAAGTGGCATTTTAAGGAATATTTTGACTCTCATGTTAACAATTTAAAAGACAAGACATGAGAAATATGCTATATATCTTTTTGTAGCTATAAGAAATATAGATATGATTGAATTCTGCAATAATGTTAATTTGATTGTATTTCCTTTAGACGCTGATACATTTAAACAATATATAAACAAGTCCGTACGTCGTTTGTTTAGGTTTTGCGATAACAAGTTAATTATTAGGTAAGATAAAATAAAATAAAATGTAAATATAAGGTAAAATATAATATAAAATATGGAATAATATAATGTGAACACAAGAAGTACTGTGTATGTATGTATGTGTGAGCCTACCTCTAAGAAATATCAATAATATGACAAGTAAATTCCAGTCTCATAGATTATGTAGAGAAGATGACATCAATGATGTGTTTTATTTGAATCAAAATATAGATACTTGTCAGGACTTTATTCCCATCCAAACTAGTAACAGTGTGTCAGATTGTATCGTTATTTGGATAGCATCATTGTTAAAGATATGCAGAATATAGATTTTTTTTATGAATACATTGTGAAGGTATTTTAATGAAGTATATTTTAATAAAACGCATTGATAGTAAGAATAAAGTCCTGATAAGTACTTTTATTCTATTCAGATAAAATACATAATCGATGTCATCTTCTCTATGTAGTCTATGAGACTAGAATTTACTGTTATTATTGATATTTCTTAAAGACTCAGTACTTCTTGTGTATATATATATATATATGTATATATGTATATGCATTATTTTTATCCAAAAAAGTATTATTATGTCATAATCTTCTTATATATAATGTTTGTACATATAATTTTCGAATGATCGATATATATTTACTTTATACATTTCATTAGTTTCTCGTAGGACAAATCAATTAAATAATCAACTGGATATTACAGTTCTAAATTGGTTTACAGTTTGGAAAATGTATATGCATTAACAAATACGAATAGAACATTTGATTGGTTGGTAAAATGGTTTATCAAAGAAAGTTCATGCGTAGACCCGAATATGACACGCATTCGTTGTTCAATGGAGAGTTTTTGTAATACCGTCTCTCAGATATTGTAAACGTTGATTGTGAATGATATTAGGGAGTTTTTGCAATACCGTCTCACAGTAAACGTAAATCATAAACGTTACTCGCTTAGAAATAACATCGCAATGTACGCGACGTATAGCATTCACAATCAACGTTTACCGTATCTGAGAGATGGTATTGCAAAAACTCCTTATTTCTGAGCGAATAACATTCACGATTTACGTTTATCATATCTAAGAGAGGATATCTGAGAGAGGAAGAACTCCCTAATGTTCGCTATGTATTGCACGTTATTTGTTCATGATATGCATGTAAATAGTTATAATGATTATAATTATGCAATTATTATAAAAGTTATTATAAAAGAAACAAATGGAATGGATTGAAGAAGCAATTTTAACAGAAGTTTATATAAAAATAGAATTATTATGAAATCTAGAAAATCGACTTTATCAGAGTAAAATAAAAAAAGAAAACTTGTACATAGGAGAAGAATTGCTCAGAAGCAGGGTAAGATACAATTTTATAATTACATAAATAAAAATTTATTGAAGTATTAAATGAAACTTGCACTTGTAATAATTACCCAAACAGCATCAAGTCGACTATTAGTTGACTATAAGTCGGCAGAAGAAGTCTCAAGTCGACTTCAAAGTTAGACTGAATGCCGACTAATAGTCGACTAACAGCCAGCAAATGTCCTGACTATAGTCCTGACTATAGTCGACCGTTAGTCAGTCGACTTAGAAGTCTGCTTTATGGTAATTTGAAGTCAGTTTTAAGTCAACAATACGGCATTTATAAATCAACTTTTAATCAATGTTGTTTTATTAAAAGTAGACTTTTAGTTAACTTGACGTAATCGAAATTAGTCAGATATAATAAATTCAAAAGATCCATTTTTATATATATTTTTTAATCGGTTTGATTAAAATTTTCATTACACATAATAAGATTATATTATAATAAAATGTTATAATAAGAAAATAAACATGAATAAATTTTCATTATACGTAACAAAACTATATACAATAAAACTATATAATAAGAAAATAAACAAGAACGAAACGGAGAAAAATTTATTTTTTTAATATTGCTCTCATTCTGTCGCCAGATCGTCGCAACCACTCTTGAGTACAAGATTCAATCTCGCTAATTGTACATTGGTTTGTCTTCAAAAGAATTGCTAAAAATATGATAATTGATATATATATATTTACGACAATAAATAACATTTTACGACAATAAATAACTGTTTTAAATCAAAGTAAAAATATTGGGTAAACTTAGTAATACCAATTACTGAATCCGACAGTTTCGATTTTCTTAAAGGCAACGTTTTGTTCTGCCTTGTTCAAGAATATTTTAGAGCAACTTCGTGCCCAATAAGTTGCGACATAATGTTTCTTATTGTTTTTGCAACTGTTTCTCCACCCACTTGTGACATATTTTCAATCTGTAACAATTATAAATGGTATGATGTATATTTTTTATTGCAAATTCGTTATATTTGTTGCTTGTGTTGATAATTTTAAGCAATTATATTAATAAATTTAATTAATATACTGTAAGAATATATATATATATACATATATATATATAAGAATTCTTGAGAATATGTAAGAAAACTTACAAACGAATAATCGATTGCGATTAGTCAAATTTTATTCTTATTGACTTGTGTCTGACACTGCAAGGGTCTTTAATCTCATTGGCAGGTGAATGCCATTGTTATAAATTACATGATTAACTTGTCCTTATATATATAATAAATCAGGAACATATGAAATGACCAGGGATATGCAGGATATCCCATTTTAAAGGATCTACTCAAATATCTTAGAAATACTGCTGTTAAATCGAAAAGTGCTTAAGACAAAAGTTGTTTAACTTGAAGGGGGACATAGGCCAGCGATAGCATTTTGTTTATAGATGGCGCCACTTTCGAAATATTTACTGATTATCAATTTTCTTAAATAGAAATCCCAGTTTTTTATTATATCATCTTTTTCTACCAATTAATTTAAACGACTTTTGTCTGAAACATTTTTTTTATTTGCTTAATATATTTTGAGATATTTAAGGAAAACTTGGTAACTTTTCCAACATTTACCTTATGATATCTCACTATTTGTCAAAAGAAAAAATAGTATTAGACTTTTTTACTTTATTTAATATCAAGAATATTACTATAATAGTGTCCTAACTTTTATTAACTTATCGACGTTTGGAAATTTCAAAATTATTAAATTAATAAAAGTTAGGGTACTATTATAGTAGTATATTCTTGATAGTAAATAAAGTAAAAAAGTCTAATACTATTTTTTCTTTCGACGAATAGTTAGCGAGATATCGTAAAGTAAATGTTGGAAAAGTTATCAAGTTTCCCTTAAATATCTCAAAATATATTAAGCAAATAAAAAAATGTTTCAGACAAAAGTTGTTCAAATTATTTGATAGAAAAAGATGATATAATAAAAAATTTGGATTTCCATTTAAGAAAATTGATAATCAGTAAATATGTCGAAAGTGGCGCTATCTATAAACAAAATGCTATCGCTGTCCTATGTCCTCCTTCAAGCTAAACAACTTTTGTCTTAAGCATTTTTTTATTTAACAGTGTTTCTGAGATATTTGAGTGGGTCCTTTAAAATGGGACATCCTGTATATAATGATCTGTTTTTATCTATTTCCACTTTATATTCTTCTAAAATGATACCATTGCATATTTTGAAGTTAGAATTATAAAACCGACATCATGGTACCAAACTAGGAGAATATACATGGAAAATGGAAATCAAAATAGATCATTCCATATAGGTATCTTCAAATTATTCTATATATCCCCAGTTTACAGTACATATAACATTTGTGGAAAGAGTTAAATTGTTGTGTGAGACAGCAAAAATATATAAACAAGGACAGTCTTTTCGACATTTTGGAAGAAGAATGTAAATATTTGTTGTACTGATACTCAACATATATAGATATACACTCATTTAAAATAGGATATAAGTGTCACATTGCTAACAAATTATTTTCTGAAATGTTATGCACTTACTTTATATTTTTAATGATAAGTATTTCACTTATTGCACCTTATTTCTCAGTCGCAGATAGAACAAATTTATTTCTCCACAGTTTTTTCGTGGCAACGCTGTAACAAATTTTATGAAGATTATTTATATTTATATATAATAATGTGTTACACTTAATATATATAATATAATATATATATAATATATATAATAATGTGTTATCCTTAATAATTATAACAATTTATAGGATGTGAGGTTATCTTATAGAAAACGGCATATTATATACACATATACACATATACTTTAGTTTGTCAAATATTTATTATACAGTTAAGTAGTGTTTAAATTTTTATCTAACATGACTAGCTTGAACATTGAGATGAATACTTACGTTTTAACGTGAACTGTATATTTGCTTTGTATTCAACATGCGTGATGCCTGTCACATTGTGACTTTTACGAACACAATGCAGCAAGGCGGTAAAGTGGTAACCAATCAAATACGATTTTTGTTCCAATATCTTTTGTTATGAAACGTATATGAAAGAACGACACGTTGATTACTTATTCTTTGCCTCCTTAATAGATCGATGGAGCTATGATGTCTAATGGATTTCTAATAGGTACATGTTGGTACATGTGGGTAGTTAAAGTTGACAAAAAGCCATTTTAGAAATAGTTGACTAAACGTGGACTTCAATTGATTACAAAAGTCAACTAAAAGTCGACTTTAAACAGTCGACTTCAGGGCTGCGTTCCAAAACTCTACTCGGAGTAGCGGAGTTAACTCAACGTCGTTCCAAAATGTGGTGTAATTTACTAAATGGGCGGAGCCTAATCGTTCAAAAATTCCAAGTAGACAGTACCCGGAGTTAACTCTTATAACTCTAATTTCGAGGAGGGTTACAAGAGTAAGTTCGAACCGCGCAAATTTAAATTAAGTAACGATCTTAGAATTTGGTTTGTTCGTGTTTAGTGACTTCTTTGAGTTTTCTTCTGAGTTTTTTTCTGAGTTTTCTTGGATATATTATACAGAAAAAAAATTAATATGACTAATTTAATACAAGGAATACATATTGTAATGACTGATAAAGATGGAATACCAGTAGAGAAAAATGATTCATTGTTAATAATGGATAGGTACATGTAATGGATAGGACAAGAGAGGTAAGTAAGAAGTATTAATCTTATATTAAGGTTAGATTAGGTTAGATTATGTATAATTATAAAACATTTTTTAGTGACAATAGGACACATATACACACATTCCTTATTTACAATGGTATTTGTTAGTTACCAGTCCACCTATTGTATCATTATATTTATTCATAACTTAATATGTTGCGTGTTTGTACTTTTACTTGTACAGATAATACTATCTTTACTGTACCAAAATTATCAGAAATATATAAATTTTTTAATATATCTCCAAAAGTTACAGATACACAGGAAAATATAAAAGTTACGAATATACAAGAGAAAACGAAAGAAGATATATTTTTTGTTATTAATTTTTTAAGAGATAAAAGAATGAATTAAACTTTTTACAATAACTATTTGATATATTTTTTACAATGTAATTATTCATTTATATTAATCCTAAATATTAATCATAAAATTTTTCATTAACGTTCTTGTTGTTAATATATTATGTTTACAGATATTTCTCTTTCTTGTGAAGACAGGGATCATGGTAAGATCAATATATTAATATTTTATATATATCATATATTTTATTTTTATTAGTTTTGAGATATTAACTATTTTGTTAATCTTATGCACTTTTCCATATTTACAGCTATATGGGAACATTCAACAATTATGTTGCTCTTTTCATTATGGACAGAAAACGCAAACCTTTTCAAAAATGATAAAGTGAGAAATGATATCGTGTGGAAAAAGATTACTGAATTCCTAAATGGAAAAGGTTATATGTATACAGCTAAACAGGTGGAAAATAAATGGAAAAATTTAAAAAAAATTTATATGAAAACAAAGGACCACAATGCCCAGTCTGGGGCATCGTTGAAGAAATGTAAGTACTACGACGAAATGAACAAAATTTATAGAAGATCGTATAGTGTGATGCCTATAGCTGTTGCGTCAAATCTTTGTAAAAGAGATATATCAACAACAGAAGACAAGGAAATAAATTCTGATAATCCTGAAATCTGTTCCTGAAATAAATCCTATAAATCCTAATAAATAAATCTGATAAACATTAATAAAGAAGAAAAAAAACGGAAATTTGCAATCATGGAAATATTTTCAAGAAAAATTAGAGAAAAATGAAGAAGCAAGAGAGCGCAGGCATAAAGAGAACATAGAACAACAAAAAGAAGCTTTAGCAACCTATAAAGAATTTATGAGCAAGTTTCTGGAAAAATTATAATTTCTTTATTTATTTCAATATTAACATACTTCCTTGTTCATTTCACTTTTTAATTTTTTGTTTCGAAAATATTCTAAAGGTAATAGACTGCTATTCGATTTTCGTTTTTAACTATATGAATTAATATTGCGAAGTTGTTTTTCGAAAATTAATAAGACAGTTGTATTGAGAAAAAAGTTAAGTATCTGTTAATGTAAAAGATTATATATCTGTTAAAATATTTCAAAGACTAATATAAAAGTAAAGTGATATGTAATATATGAATTGTTGAGAGAAAAATTGATAAGTCAATCTTTTTTCTAATTTGATTTGACATACAAAAGAGCTGTTTTGTATCCCTATTTTAATATTAACTCAAATTAGAAAGGAAATTGATTTTTGCTTCCAATAGCTTATATAACACAAATATTAAAATAAAAGTATGGTAGAGATTTCGTTTTTTTAATAAAGATTATAAATGATGTATACTGTTTTAAACGTTGAACATTTAATACATCTCAAATAAAATATATTTATATTTTATAAAGATAAGAATAAATATAGCTAAGTTTTCTACTCATTTTCCATCTTATGTGTATAATAAGAATGTATATACACAATTGTAGGATTGTATTTCATTTAAGTTTTATTTATATTATTTATGTACACATAGCTTCTGCATGTAATATTTCATTTCTCTTATATAAAATAAAAAAATATATTGAAATATAATTATATTGATAACATCACAGGTTACTATACTCTTTCTCTAAATAAATTTCGTGCAATGTTATTGCGTTTTATTACACCGTCATTGTCATATTGTTCTTCAACTTGTCCATGATGCTCTTCTTGCTCTGCATCACATTCCCTTCTTTGTTCTTCTTCAATCAGATAAGTTTCTATTCCTTCACCAGAGTTTAAACATATGTTATGAAGGACGCAACAGGCTAATATAGTTGCTGGTATCAAATCAATGCATGCCATATGCAAATATTTGAAGCGTCTAAAGCAGCCTTTCAATAATGCAAATGCTCGCTCAATTGTTTGTCTGGTTTGACATAATATATGATTAAAATTGTTTTCGACCTGTAAGAAAAAAATATATAAAATAAAAATATAAGAAACATACACATACCACAAAGAGAGAGAGAGGGAGAGGGAGAGAGAGGGAGAGAGAACGAGCAAAAAATTCCATATCAATATAGTTTCAACAAATTAAGTTAGAATAATTTAATATTTGGTTTTAGAATTATAAAATATACTTACTTGTGTCAAATGGCCATTATCTTTAAAAGCTATTAAGCACCAACTCAGTAAGGGATAAGCTTTATCCCCTATAATAAATTCCTCATTTGGAAAGAATAAGCGACGATTTCTATGAATAGCCTGCCACAAATCAGAATTTCTGAAAATTCTAATATCACTTACCGACCCAGGATATCCAGCAAAGCAATCAATGAAATGTAGGTCTGTATCACATACAGCTTGAAGTGTAACTACATGTTCTGCATTTTCTTGTCAGATAAGATTGAGCATTTATCTTCATAATAAAATAAATAACTAATATTAACATTAATACAACTTCTTGATGATGAAAATAAAAAAATATTAAGTTGGAAATAAAATAAAATAATGTTGTAGATATTTACATATGGTGCTGAAATTTCAATATGTGTACAGTCAATAACACCAATAACATTTTGAAGACCAGCTATTCTTGCAAACTTCTCCATTATAACATTTATGTGATCCACAGATGGCCATTTGATAAAATTGCTTCCTATATCATAAAGAGCTTTAACAACACGTCTTACACAATGGTTCAGTGATGATTTGGCTAAATCAAATTTAAGCTCAACAGATCTGTAACAACATAAATGTTCTTTATTATGAATATTCTTATTCATGTGCATGCCAAAAAACAAATAACTATATATGTATTAATTATATAGATAACTTATATAGATATATTTTATATAAAAAATATTTACCTGTATAAATCAGGAGTTGCCAACAGCCATAATGTTGCAAGTAATTGCACTCTTGGTTTTATATAGGATCTGCCTATAATATTTATTTTAGATAGTCTTAGACTTAATATATTTTCCAATACATGAAAAGTATCTAGGGTCATACGAAAATGTTTGAATTGTCCTGTTGAAAATCTTGGAACAACGATTTTCACATAACCTTCAATATGTACATTCTTCTTTCCTTTTTTTCTTATATGTAATTTTTCCGTCAGCATATATATTTCTTCTTCTGTTTCACTTTCGCTCTCATTGTTGTCCATATATGTAAATAACACTTTTCTAAATATTTCATTAATAAGAATAAATAACTTCGTATTATTCACATTCATGTATATAAATATAAATATATATATATATATATCTGTGCCGCATTTAGAGAACACTTCCCGTTCAAAAACGCCGAGTTAACCCACGTTACTCCCTTCTACTCTGTTCTCCAACCACTACGAATCCATAGAGTTGACCGAGTAAAGTTTTGGAACGCAGCCCAGAATGTTTAAAACAAGTCGACTAAAAATCGACTTTAAACAATCGACTTTAAGTTGACTCAAAAATGCCGACTATTACAAGAATAATCTATTGTGATTGGCCTATTTTTATTCTTATTGCCTGTTGCCTGGCATTGTACAAAGGGCTTTAGTCGGCAAACAGTCGCTTGTGCTGTGTGGGTATAGACCGATCAGACATTTTGCATCATGTCTGGTGAACACTAAATTCAGCCGAATACGAGTGTTTGTTACAAAAACGAATAGAAATGAACTATAACGAACAAGAATATGAACATCGAACATTCGCATTCAATGTTAGTTTTTTTTTCTATGTTTCTGCCAGAAGTTATAAAGCTTAGAATAAAAGATTTGAAAATTTATTGCACCTATTATGGACTGAAACTAATCACTAACTTTCATTACTATAATTTACTAGTTGAATCCTAGTTATTTCTGCTTATACAGCCAAATTTATTGTCACTTCTATTATCTTTATCTAGAATATCTAAATCTAAAGCAATATCCTGATTAGTTCTTCAACTTATTTACGTTTTATGTTTATGGTAACGGCAAATTATGTGTGAAAACTCTTAACTGGCTGTGCGAATTATATAGTTCCATATAATAGTACTACGGAGAATTCTTACATATATCGAACATCCAAAGCCAGTTTTGTTAAAAATGTCAACTGAAAACATAAATGATCAGGAACAAAATTCTGTTTACTCAGGTAAAATAGAAACAAAAAATACTGCATTCAAGTCTCACATGGCACAGACGTCCTCAGGACGTCCTGAGGACATCCCTACGTTTTTAGGACATCCCAGGAGTATCCCTTGGGCGTTTTGTGCTGTGGGGTCTCTCTCGAATTAGGTATTGATCACATACATACATTATCTTAATTATGTAAATATTTTTAGCGTCCGTCACCAAAGATTCAGTTGAAAATATCAAGAATATCGAAGATAAGACAATAGACTTTACTCAAAAACTTATTACAGATTTAAAAGAATTACATTATCTTTTAAATACTTCAGCTGACAAAATTTATAATATTATAGAATCTGTCAAAAGATTAGAAGGACATCTAGATCAACATTATTATGAAATAAACCATTTAGAAAATCCAAAATTGGGTGACATTATAATTCTTGCTGAATCTTTTATCCGCATATATCATTTAAAACTTCCAAAATACATAACAGACCCAGAATGTATGCGTACAGGCGAATTTTTTCTTATGCGAAGTATGACATTATTAAAGAACAAAGAATTGGATTGCAAAGCTATTCTTGGAGCAATAGAGACTCTTAATGAATTGAGCTACATTTATATAGAACTAGAGAATCCAATGAGATCTTTACAATACTCAAAAAAAGCATTTGAGATATATCACACATACACGAAAGGGCAGGATGATTTTCCTGCTCCTGTCAATATTATAACTGTTATAGATATCAAAACGAATTTAAATCCTATATATTTATTAAATAAAAAATATATGGGTACTTTAAAGTCTTTATTTATATTAAGAAACAAAATCAAACCTGAACTGATAGATATGGATCAAATTGCCACATATATGTGTGAGTTACTACAAAAGCAATTAAAATATATACCAGCATTAATCGATAATGTATCATGGGCCACAGAAGCAATAAAATTAGCTGAATACTTTTTGTCACGTAATCGTTTTAACAAATGTAAAATGTATCTTAATATTGCGTGCATTATGATACGAGCATATTTTTCTTTATATTTCTCCGTATTAATACAAACGATGTCAGTTGGAGAGCAGAAATTAATCTATATGAACCTTAAAAGCACCATTTTTTCTATTCTCATGTATTGGGTGCGATATGGACTTGTGCTTTTATATACGTCGAGGGAACGATTTATAGAAGCGAAAAGAGAAGACAATCTTTGTGAGACAAATAATTCTATATCAAAATCTGCAACAATGTCTGTTAAACAATTGACAGAATCACTAATGTCTCCGAATATAGACTGTAAGAATAAAATTGAAGAGATTATTTATATAGACGAAGATAATTACATTACAAACTATAATGATGCTAAAAGAATTTTTGTTCGTATTCTCGAATTGCTTAATTACTTAAAGGCAGATAAATCGATTTCGGGTGAGGCAACAGTTCGTGTAGAAATTGCACAATGTGTTTCCAGAGCATACAAATATTTAGCATTTTATGAATTTGACAAAATAAAGCAGATGAAACTACAAAAACGGCGGATAGAAGTTTTAGAGAATTGTTTGAAAACATTACAGGCAGATGATAATGTTATTCGTAGTTTTGTATGCTTTGAAATAGGAGTCGTTAATTCCATCGTGTTAAATATAATAATCGAAAATTTAAGAAATTTGAATGAAGATTTAAATGCAAAAGAATTATTAGAGATTGAACAATTAGTAAAAAAAAGTGTGATGTATTTTCAACTGTATACTGATAATCATAAAGCTGAAATTTCGGATTGATAAATGAAGCAGTTGACAAAAATTATCAAGTTATATCTGCTTTAAATGTAAAATATATTTCAAAGAGATTTCTAGAACATTTATTGTAATCGATTTTCACAAACATGTAGAGTTTAATATGAAAAAATAGGAACATATGGGAATTTCCATATTTACAAAATTATTTCGAAATTATATAATTATATAAATTAATATAATTTTTATGCAGAAATATTGTTTTTTATCATATTTTTTATTTATATATTTATTATAATATAATGTACTTTATTTTATATGTGTATATACAGGGTGCACGATTTATCTGAAGACATTAAAATATCTCGAGAACTATTCATTGGATAAGAAAAAGTGGTTAATGAAAGTTGTTAGTCTCGAAGGGGGACATCCAATGATACTAAACTCGACCTCCCACTCCACCCCCTGGGGGTGGGGGTTGGGGGCAACTTTGAAATCTTAAATGGAAACCCCCATTTTTTATTGCAGATACGGATTCTACGCCACAAAATACGTAAATTTTGTCCGAAACTTTTTTTTTTGATTCGTGATAAATGGCGCTGTAATCGCAAAAAATTATATTTTCCGCAATTCTCCAGAAATGATCATTGGATTGAGAAATAAAAAATACCTGTTCAATATTTTTAAAGAACATAATAAAAGTTATTCCCCCCCCCATCCTCTCGGGGTAGGGTGGGTGGTAACGTTCAAATCTCAAATGGGAACCCGAATCGAAGAGGGAACTGCTCGACGCGCCACTGTGGGTGTATGGCGAACTACGGCTTATTATAAAAGGCAGTGCAATGCTATCTATCATGAATGAAAAAAATTGTTTCAATAAAAATTTCACGTACAATCTAATTCTGCAATGAAAAATGTGGGTCCCCATTTGAGATTTGAACGTTATCACCCACCCTACCTCGAGAGGATGGGGGGGGAATAACTTTTATTATGTTCTTTAAAAATATTTTTCATTTCTCAATCCAATGATCATTTCTGGAGAATTGCGGAAAATATAATTTTTTGCGATTACAGCGCCATCTATCACGAATCGAAAAAAAAGCTTCGGACAAAATTTACGTATTTTGTGGCGTAGAATCCATATCTGCAATAAAAAATGCGGGTTTCCATTTAAGATTTCAAAGTTGCCCCTAACCCCCACGCCCAGGGGGTGGGGTGGGAGGTTGAGTTTGATATCATTGGATGTCCTCCTTCGAGACTAACAACTTTTATTAACCACTTTTTTTTATCCAATGCATAGTTCTCGAGATATTTCAATGTCTTCAGATAAATCGTGCACCCTGTATATACAGGGTGAGGAAAAAAGATGGGAACCCTTAAAAATCTCGAAAGATATAAGTTTTACGGAAAAGTGTTTCAGATAAAAGTTATAAGGCTCAAAACGATATATTTACTGATCTTATCAGTTTGACTTTGGCATTACCAAAGTCAGATCAAGGTCAACTTATTTTTTTTTAAATAGAAACCCTTACTTTTTTATTATATCACTTTTTTCTACCAATTAATTTGAACAACTTTTGTCTGAAAATTTTTCTTATTTGCCTAATATTTTTTGAGATATTTAAGGAAAACTCGGAAACTTTTTTAATATTTAATTTACGATATCTTGCTAACTATTTGCCGGAAGAAAAAATGCTATTAGACTTTTTTACTCTAATTGGTCTCAAGAATATATTGTTACAATAGCATCTTGACTTTTGTTAATTTGATGATTTTGAAATTTGATTTTGAAAAAAAAGTCAATAAGTTAACAAAAGTTAGGGAACTATTGTAACAATATGTTCTTGAGACCAAATAGGGTAAAAAAGTACCACTTTCTTCTGACAAATAGCGAGATATCGTAAGTTAAGTATTGAAAAAGTTATCAAGTTATCCTTATATATCTCAAAAAATATTAGGTTAATAAAAAAATATTTCAGAAAAGTTGTTCAAATTAATTAGTAGAAAAAGATGATATAATAAAAAAATAAGGGTTTCTGTTTAAAAAAAATAAGTTAACCTTGACCTGACTTTGATAATGCCAAGGTCAAACTGATAAGATTAGTAAATATATCGTTTTGAGCCTTATAACTTTTGTCTGAAACACTTTTCTGTAAAACTTATATCTTTCGAGGTTTTTAAGGGTTTCCATCTGTTTTCCTCACCCTGTATATATATTTATTAGATGTGTGTATTAATTCGGTCCGTTTTTCTTCTTTATGTATGTATGAATAAAAGTATGAATAAAAGACTTTAGTATGAAAAAACATGAAAAAGTACACTAATCAAAGTATTTGCCATCGCTTTTTATTATTTTTGCCCATCTGTCTGGCAATTGTCGAAAAATTCCGTGACGGAAAAACGACTCGTCCTTCGAAACGATCTATTTATTGAGCCATTTCTCTATTTCTTCATAATTGTTCAAGTGCTGGTCCAAAAGCCCCGTGTGCCATCGATCTGAACAAGTGATAATCGGATGGAGCAATGTCTGGTGAATACGGCGAGTGAGGTAAAATGTCTCAGCCAAGTGCTTCCAAAGTGGCCTTCACAATCTTTCCAACATGTGGCCGAGCGTTATCGTGTTGTAAGATCACTTTATCGTGTCTCTTTGCATAATCCGGCCGCTTATTCTTCAATGCGTTGTTTAAACGGATCAATTGTTGTTGGTAAAGTTCGGCAGTGATGATTTGGCTCTGTTTAATAGTTCATGATACACCACACCCTTCTGGTCCCACCATATACAGAACATTACTTTCTTGCCGTGAATATTCCGCTTTGGTATCGATGTAGATGGTTTTTCTGGGTCGCTAATGGATTTCCTTTGGGATTATCGTAATATATCCACTTTTCGTCTCTAGTCACAATACGATACAAAAAACCTTTTCTTTTTTGCCTGGCAAGCAAGATTTCAAACATGGCTTTTCGCTACTTAATGTCTCTCTTTCTTTCAGTTCGTATGGCACCCATCTTCCTTCTTTATAAATCTTTCCAATGGCTGCCAAACCCACAGAAATTGTTGATCAATCAACATTCAACAATTGCGCGAGCTCATGTTGCGATTGACACGGATCTTCATCGATTAGCGCCTGCAATTCCTCGTCCTCGAACTTCTTCGGCTGACCTGGACGAAGTTTGTCATCGACACTGAAATCATCACTTTTGAAACGTCGAAACTATTCTCTGCATGATTTATCAGTGGGAGCATTTTTACCATAAGCTTCTACGAGCATCGATGAGCTTCTACGGCTGTTTTCTTCAAATGAAAACAGAAAATGAGAACTTTCCGGAAATGATGCTTTTTTAGCTCGAATTTTGACATTTTCGAATCAGATAAACACGATGTTATTGTTACAAACCCAAACGTTTATCAACTGAATATTATTGCCAGATATCAAAACTGAAAAATAAAACCTTTTGCAGACATTAGAAGTTAAAAAATTACATAGTACAATAATTGACCGCCAAATGGACCGAATTAATTCACACACCTAATAATATGCGGGCATACCCACCATAGAATGTCTGACAATTAATGACATAATGCTCAAACTGAACAGAAAAGTTTTGTACTCTTCTGCAAACATCTCATTAGTTAGTAACCTGAGAAAAAAGATTATATATGATTGTATATAATTATATTATATATTTATATAATAATTTTATATAATTATATATAATAATTATATAAAATAATTTTATATAATAATTATATAATAATTTTATATAATTATATAAAATTATTATATAAATTATTCAAAAATCAAGATCAGTCAAAAGTGCTTAGAATAATCACTGATGCTCCCTTTATTTGTTACAAACGAGATACTTCATTCAATCTAAAAGTATCACAACTTTGAGGGGCAGTTTCATCTCTTAAACCTGAGCCATTGCTGATAAAAAATATGGGTCTCTTATTTTTAGCTCCTCTACAAATATGCCACACATATGTTTCATCGAAATCGGAGACACACTTCACGGATGTTCCTTGTTAGATACTGAAATGTTTCTTATTTTGAAATACATTCCAGCCAATAAAGACAAGACCAGCGGACGTCCTTGGAAGGAACATTGAGAGATCTCTAAAAGATAATTTTATTTCTTCATCATCAATAGCACTCATTGCTAATGTCTAAATGATCTATTCATATATTATCGTCCAACAATCTTGCCTTCATTAGCCGGCATGTGTTTCAAAGTAAGAACTTTGAGCGCTATTTTGCGTCTGTTGGAAAAAAGTTAGTGAAAAATTAGCAGGAATAAAATTCCCTGACTTGTTTCCATGGAATATGAATTTGCAATAAAAAATAGGCGTTTTTATCGAAAAAAGTAACCTAAGCTTTATTGGACCTAAAGTGGGATTTGGATTCAAAATGTAAATAGCTCATGTGATGACTTCCTACAACTTTTATTTGAAACATTTTTTTCGAGAATGTATTGTTTTTGAGATATTTTGGTGTCTAAGTTAAAATGGGACATCCTGCATATGGAACAGTATAAATTAAATATTTGATTTGTTGAATATGACAAATGACATCATAAATTAGAACGTGGAAACCTACATCTCGAGCATTTATGGGCAGCATATTGAAACGAAGAGTAAGAAAACAACACTCAAACGTTAGCAGTACTTCGCAACGCTTTGCAAGAAGAACTGAACAATATAAAACAAGAAGAAATCAGAAATTTGATTTACAGTATGCCCCAATGAATAGAAAAATTGCTAAATGCAAGAGGAAACAATAAATACGTACTATTAAATTATGCAAGTTTAACTAAACAACTAATAAATGCTCGGTACGATTCATATTCGGACTCATAACATTTTCTTCACAACGGCATAACTTTATTAGAAAAGGTTGTAGAAAAATGATTAAAATATGGATTTATTAGGAAATAAATAAGCTTTAAACCTTATACATTTTTGTACCAGAGAACCGATTCCCTTGAGCAACACAACAGTTAAAGAACAAATTTTTTCCCCATTAATCGAAGTCTGTCTTTAACAT